ATGATTAATATGCGTTCGGAATTTGTTTGTCACTAATCTTTAATATATTTTATCGTACTTTTATATTGTCTTCTTTCATTTCATTCTAATAGATGTACGTAGTAAGATGACTTTTTTTGTAGACATACAACTTTTAGTCGTATCGTTAATTTTGTGAACTTTAAGCAGTTTCACAAGACATTTTATTGTGTCGCAGCCTTTTCGTTTATAGAGTTTTTACTGATCTTTAATATTACTATAAATGTTTAATTTATTGCCTCGGCGCTTATACACGATTTCATTTAGTTTATTACCTCCGTTCTAAAATTTATTTCTATAGATTCGTCTTTTAGTAATTTGATTTGGTCGAATATGAAATTGAATGACGATTACTTTTTTATTATGTTTTGCATAATGAATAGATAAGTAGTAAGTAGGGAAATGAAAAGTTACGGCCGAGGCCGGGGGTACGCCGACGTCAAATGATTTATTGCCCATGTTGTTTGTGACGCCGACACGTGTTTATCCCTAGGTTTTTCACGCAAAGCAAAGATAAGAAACCACTAGATGTCTTCTTGTTTGTAGTAAGTTAATTAGTTAGTGATTTGCATTCTTATCAATAAAGCCTTACATTTATTCGTAATTAGCTGTCGCCCGCGACTACGTCCGCGCGGTATTAAAAAAAAACTGAATTAATAGCTTAACTATGTATGTATGTATGCCAAAGTTCATCAAGATCCGTTCAGCCGTTCTGGAAATACCTTCAAACAAACGTCCATTCAAATATTCGCATTTATAATATTATATTAGTAAGATTTCTTCCTTAACAAATAATTTATCTATACAATATAATCGCGTAAGATGTAATTAACACGTACTAAGAAAATAGGTAGCTTACATAACTTTCACAACAGTGCAAAGTAAATGTAGTAATCCTCATAATTCCTTATTTTATCCTCAGTGCAATTTACGACCATCAAATTTAATGTTTTACTGTACCCGTATGGTTTTATTATAACGTTAAAAGGTTCAAAGGTTAAGAATTACAATATTGTGATGACTAAACAGAGGTCGCGTTTGGATTGCAAAAACATTGTTTTTTGATTTGTCATTTTAAGATAAGTTCGTACCTGTTTATGCATAATGACTTTGATTTAAATTTTATACATTTTATTATTTTTATTTATTTAACAATAAAATTATATTTTATATACAGTTTATTTCTTAACATTAAAATGAAAGGTACACAACAAAATTTCAATAAACTTGTAGTTAGATTTATTCACAAAACATATTTCTTAATAATATATTATAAATGTGATTTTTTAGATGGATGGACGGATGGATAAGTCTTTGAAAAGAATATGGCAAAGATGTAGAACATAGTCTGAAAGTCATAGGCTACTTATTAAGTTTTTTTAATACCGCGCGGACAGCTTGTGATAAATAAAATAGAGTTGTCTAATTCAGGGAGTAGGATTATAATACTGTGACCCCAGTCTTATGTTAATGCTGTTTCGGAAATGCCAATTAAAATGTTAACAATGGCAGTAGTAAAGTTGTTATTTCATTGAAATAGAACCGGTTCGGCACAAGCCGACCCTTCTGCAACGTTTGGGGATGTAACACTTTGCATAATATTGCATTTTATTAAGACTTAATGTATCCGATGTTAGAACACATTTTGATACCTGACTTGTTTGGGGTAGAATAACGTTGTGATAGAATTTAATTAAAATTTAAATAACGATGTTATAACTCTGTATTTTATGTCTATTATTATGAGTTTTATGTATTACTCCGCTTTTAAATTATTCAAGCTTTCGTGAGACATTATACTGAACTGATATATAAACACGGCTAAACACTCACGTATATACGTCCGGTGGCGGCACCGACTAGTTTCGAGTCCATCGGGGGCCCTTCATCGGGATGAGTGGTACTGGTACGTGGACGCGGCCCGTCGCTCACTCAGTGACGAGCGACGGGCCGCGTCCGCGAAATAATAAATTAAATAAGGATTTTGGTATCTAAAACCCACAATAATTCAGTTAAAAAGACAAATTGTGTTCCAATTTTATATTTCGTTTACACAGATTAAAAAATATGTCGACATTGATGTTTAATTTTTATTATAGAAAACGTTAAACCCGAATTTTGTAAATTAAAAGATATAACACCTATCTTATTATCGAAATAGATAAAGCAAAATGAATCGATTGCATTGTATGCAGTTTTTGTAACGCATCGTAACGACTCTAACATAAATCAAAGGTATGAATGAACGTGGTAGCAGTGGGGAATCGATATACCAGATAGTGTGGGGAGGAAATAAAAACCAATGGAGCTTCCGATTTCACCCTTCGCCTACAAAGTTCACGGTTTTTTTTATCGCGTGACAATTTGTGAAGCATTGAAGTTGACAAAGCCGATTTAAGAAGAAGAATTAGAATTTTGTTGTACGCAATATCTAAATCTATTCGTTGCTTTTCGCTATTATTTAAATATTTTATTTATATAACAATGATCAGGTTAATTCCGGATAATCAAGCTATTTAAGAGTTACCGAATTTTCAGATAGGTTTGTTCTTAGAAATTTAATTAGATAAGAAAATTAGAAATAACATAATTATTACTAGTTATAATCAATAAAAACATAAATCATTTTATATTAAGTACTTTAAACGTGCTAGTAAATTTAAATATTTCTACAATTCTGACATATTAAAATAAAAAAAAAAATATTTAAAAAATATATGGAATCAAAACGACCTGAATTCAAAAGTTTATTATTAAAATTTCAATAATATCGAATTTAATCGAATACCATAAGTAATATCGATAACGAAACAACAAATCGATTTGTTTTGCATTCTCCGCATGATGGATGGGTGGGCGCACGACGCGATTCCGATACGCACCCTTCTATTCACAACGTTCGGGGGATTTGGGGCGTGAAGGGTAAATGAATAAATTAATATACGGTCTTAGAATTGTACGAGGCAGCTGTTGCCGTATTTGCATTAGCAATGCACTTTATACACGTTACGGGTGATCAAGCAAAATTTGATCAAAGGTCTACATGTTGGATTCAATATTTGCATATTTGATTAAAGTTTTGCAACATCATCCAATGTTGTTAGTATTTTTATATTATACATAATTTGAAGAAATCAGCTTGCAAGTGATTGTAAGACTAACTCATAAGAGCTACAGGCTGATTTTTATTATCATCTTAAAGACTACTAGAGAAATTGGCTCTATATTGTTCTTTATCCTTATAAATCTACCACTAAAGCTGGTATACCTTTGTTATTATTATAATAAAAAAAACTTGAATTAAAAATAAAAGAAAAAAGTGTATTCAAAATTAGCGTAACCCAGTTAAAAGTAAGTTATAAATAACAAAGTAAACGATACTCGTATTGAGATTATCTCGTAGTTAAAATGTCCGTCGTAGGCAAGGATATCGGATTTCACTTTATTGCTACGGACGGTAGCGTTGCAGAAGCTGTCTTTACGAGTGAGATGTCGACGTACTAACCGGTACACATTCAATTAAGTACTAACATACTTGATAACTACTTAGTATAAAAATACACTAAAAAAATATAAACACAACAAAGTATACGCTTTAACTTTGTCGATAAAGTTAACTCGAATGCCATCTCAGGAGAAAGTTTTATGAATAACCAAAAGGAAATGGAGTTTGTTTTATTTTTGTAATTGTTAAGTATCCAAGATTAAATTACAATATCGTTTACATTGTCTCAATAAGTAATGAATTTGTAAACTGAAATAAATCGAAACTTGTTTACTTACATTGTTAAGTAACATGAATAAAACAAAATAGGTAAATACACAGACCCGAACCAGATCGTAAAATTGTCAAAATATTTATATTGTTATCCCTTTCATTTAAAAAAACAGAGATAAATAAATATTTAATACTGGTATTTCTGAGATGGAAACTCAAGCTAAATTTGCATTATATAATTTCGCATAAGGTAAATTTATTGTAAATTCACTTAGAGACAAACAACAATGTGTAAACAACAACAACAGTATTCGTTGTGAACAGTTCCTGCCGAGTCGCAGTCGGAATATCCTGCCGTCAGTGCGCTCCTGCTATTTCCTGCACAACGGGCAACATTTGAAGTTGCCATTGTTGCAGCAACTGGGTTACCAGTCGTAGAAACGTTGATAATGTTTGTTACATTTGATAATTATTTAGCGTTTGTTTATTTTTAAACTGATCGTTATTATATAAACTTACAAAGTTGTTTTTTTTAACAGATTTACTGATAAAACATTTTAATTCCGTAACGCATCAACTGTATTACCACAGATTTTTATATAAGACAAAATATATAATCTTATCATTATTATATATATTTACTTCTAATATAGTTGCTTAAGTTGATTACAACTAAGTTGTAAATGAGTCAGTGTATTTTGGTCAATCTTATATATATACATGCGGTTTAAATTATGAATTACTGGAATGATGATTCGTACAATATGTATTCATAAGTTATATATAAATATATTCAAATATTTCAAAAACATCTGTTCTGATATATTAATAAGTATATTTTCATGTTCATAGTCTTCAAAAGTGTAAAGTATTGTAATTTGAAAAAAGCGACAGGCGATTTTTTCTCGATTAACATCAAATTAAAAAAAAATATATGTATTATATAGTAATTATTAAACTTATCAATGGGTTAATTCTTACTTTATTTAATTAACACTTAGCGTAGCTTAAAAATAACTTTGTTGTGAGAAAACGACAATTATTGTGTGTTTAGAAAGTAGCTTCGATGACTAAGATAAATATATCAGAAATAAATATAGATAAAATTTGAAATTTGTATAATAGTGAGTGGTCCTGGATGTGGCAGCAATCGTTCGAGGTGTAGGGCGACCGGTCGGGGCGGGAGTCGGGCGGGAGTCGGGCCGGAGTCGGGCCGGAGCGTCCGCCGGCCGCCGGCCGCCGCGCCACCGACCACGCCACAGTCTCTTCTAAGCCACAGCTATGCGCACATCCTCCCCGTCATAGCCTAAAACACATTCCAGTTCCGGACTCACGCGTACACGCGCCCGGGAAAGTTTACGTTCAAATTTCGAATTCGCGAATACTCCGAACTATTATTTTTATTCTAACGCGAACCATTATAAGAAAAAAAGTTGCAGATTTTGGCGGCAAACGGGTAAAGTTGTGTGTTTGGTGTTAAAGTGCGTTTCGCATACTTTAAAAAGCTTTTAAGATATTTTTTATTTGTGTGCGGTGTACGGATAGATTCTGTTGATGTGAAGTGTTATATTTTTTATTTTTGTGCACATTTTGATTTGGATTTTTTTGCTCCGGAAATTTTTGGTTGGTTATTTTTTTGTCATGCTATTTTTATTATAAATATCCTAATTTATTATAATTTTATTTAATTAAAAAATATGTTCTTATAAAGCTTCGCTGTTATTTATATTCTTTAATATTGTCTAATTAATGTTTAATCAACAGAAAAAAAGTTATACAAAAATTACACAAAATGAATTTACTACCTTGCCAAATACATCGGCATGAAATTGATTTATTTAAATAGAAGCGTTACAATAAATTTATCCGCGACGATTTACTACTGAATGCTCGCCTAGGAAGGACACCATTAATTTTCCTACGACAAATGCAATCACTTTATATTAACGGGTTTCTGACGACTTGGAAAATATTCATAGAGAGCGGCGTGCGGTGTGCGGCGTGCGGCGGCCAATCGTGATTAATTTCTTCTATACTATAAAGGTATTACACTTTTTACCCGGCGAAAAAAGCTCCCAGGAGGGTAAAAACACTACGTTACTAACATAATTCTGACATACTCTGGCTTTTTCTGCATTGAATTGGTTTAATAACTACGTAGTGTTCTTATACGGAACTTTCTAAGTTATCAAAAGAAAAATTACGTGTTTTTTTATTTCGTTCTCATTAATCTTTTCTTGATTTGAATAAAGGAAGGCTTTAGAGCGTAAAAGAAAAATAGAGATGGCCTTTGTCTTGTGATATTGAATGAGCTCGTTTGCTATTCATAGTTCTTATTAAAATACTAAATGCTAGCTGAATAAATTAAGAGAAAGCTCTTTATTGAAATACTTTTAGATTATAATCTTTAATTTCAGTGGAAGATGTGAGCCTTCATTTGTATAAATATTTAAAATAAACAGATCTTATATTTCTTAGATTTATTGTGCGTATATAAAAATTTAAATAAAAATGATCTCTAATTAAAAAAAAAGCATCTCATTGCCCGTTATTGGGTTGATAAGGGTCGTTGGAAAACTTTTGTTACTTAGTATTTATTAAACTAAAACGAAAGCAGTGTACTGGCAAAATAATTCTATATTTAGTTCCGTCTACAGTGTATTTAGGGAGGCTTTCAGGAATTAATTCGCCTAAGTGAAATTGGCGACGCGTCAATGCTTTCTGCTGCTAATTATTCGTGGAATGGATTTTCGTGACTACACGGTTCAGTAATCAACGTAACTGCGTACACTGAATTGAAATAAACCAATGAATTTGATATTAAAGGACTCTATAGTCTTGTGGTACAATGCTAGATTTTAACATCGTGGTACTAAAGTTCTATTTTCGCGTATCTCATTTGTCCCTTATAAAAAAAATGCATTTTGAGTATATTTCAATAAAATTTTGCGCACTAACGTCAGTTGTAAATATATTATTAGGCTTGAAAAGTTCAAAGCACGGCATCTTTTTAGCATTGTTTTTTTTTGTTTATTTAAAAAGTTTACCGGTCGATACATTTAGGAAGAAGTGAAAAGTAAGGCATCAGAGTAAAGCCATGGCTACCGATAATGGACACATGTTCATATAACCGTCGATTTCTGCGATCAAAATCTCTGTATAAAACATATCGTCGTCCCTGTCAGTATCTTTGACAAAACAGAGATAACAATATGTTTTAAACGGAGATGCTGGTCTAAGATACCCGCGGTAAGTTTATTTAACAATAACGATTATGACAAACCATAAAATCTTCGATTACTGGAATATTTTGACAGCGCGATGTTTCTGCAATCTGGTATAAAGTTGTTTTTCTAACACATGATCATTCTTATGAAATTTAATTCTATGTATAAAGTCGGATTTAAGTAAAATTTATTGGTATTTAGCGCTTATCGCGTCGTCGTGGGACGAACTTTAGCTTCACAAAAACGGTAATATGATTTCACACAATTTATGATGACGATTAACGAGATAAAATCAAAAATTAGATGGCCCTTCACAAATACAGTCGTCTCTAATAAAAATCGAATTCAATAAAAATAAATAAAAAATACAGTGGAACGTAGCGACACAACACAACACAACTAACGATTTCGACAATAAAAGTATCAAAACGCCATTGACGCAAACCTTCTGTACTTTGTATAAGAAGATATCCATTTTATTTATATTGTTACTTTTTAACTTGACAATGTATACTTTGTCAGGAGTAACAGGGTATGCTTGTTATCCTTATACAATTTGTTGCTTACAGATAAATGTTCAAATTGTTATTTTATTGCTTATTATTAATTTTTACCCTTTTTGAATATGTTTTAATAAAAATATCTCGGTGGTACAGGCACGTATTGACAGTGTTATTAATCGATATTAATTCAAAATATTTCATTTCAAAGTAATTATTTTATTTCATCATATAAGGCATTTTTTATGTTGATCAGTTCAAAGCAGCGTTAAGAAGTTAATGACATTTTCGCTTGTGGCTAAACTGTTTACTGTTTAAGTGTCTGATAATGTTCACAATGTTGTATGCATTTTTACTTGATTTGACACCGGTCAAGGACATGAATTCATGAAAAAATATTGTGTTAATAGAAAAAATTGCAGAAATAAACACGACATTCATTGTGCAATTTAAAATAATTAAATTATTATTTTTTTAATTTTGTGTTCGTAGCCAGTTTTAGTACACATTTTTTACGTTTCTGTAAGGGGGTTACCCTAAATGGATTCCAGATCATAATGTGAAAATTGTAAAAGATATGAATAAATTCGCAAGTCAAACATAGAACATTTTTATATCTGTAGTATAACTTTATTTTGTTTGTAACATAAAATAGCTACCTACGTATAACGATGGTAATAAAATCTAAATTATCTACCTAGACGTACGCACACAAATACTATAATAAAATGAAATTTAAAATTGCCATCCAATATATTCTACGGAATGGTGTTATTGACTCGCACGAAGTTTGCGAATAACAATCCACTAGTGCAGTTTCCAAACGGATACTTCCCCAAACTGCATTTGTTAGTACCTAACTTTAAAACTCGTACGTAAACGTAATAAACATTCTCCTGCGTTGGAAAATATCTTTAAGATGCTATTTGCTGATTTCGAATGCGTTCCCTCAAATCTACTGGTAATAGTTATTTCTTTAGTATCCCTCGTTTCGATGTTTAGCAACGAGTACTATTACGTTGCATCTAATCGATTAAGATTATTTATATGGACTAATCTCTGGTGTCTTCTGGAAACCACTTCTTTGTATTTGTCGAAAAACTTTGGCATATAACTATATAAGCTATGACTACCAAAAACAATATAATGCCGTCAATTACCTACAAAGTATTAACGTATTTTTATTATGATTTAGAATCATTTGACGCGAAATGCGCGCTTTTGTTACCAAGCCAAGTGTTAGATCGATTAGTGAGGGGACATAAACGTTGATTTTAATAAGCCAGCCTAGAGTTGCGCCGATACACTGGAACAGTGTCGGATGTTCTTTCTAACAGTATCGAGATGATAAAACTTTTTCGTATTATAACAAAGTGGTTGCATAGCACTCGGTACAGTTTTCGCACATAAATCGAGTGTCGCGTCTACGACCGGTGAGGTATTGTCTTGGCGTGTCAACGCAAACCGCAGAGCTGTTTGATAATTGTTTATTTCATTTACTAGTGTCTTGTCTTTGTGAACATCAATTTAAACGGATGATTTTATGTTTCTGGTCCAAGAGTTATAAATAAATAATTTTCTTTAGAATGTCTGTCAGGAAAGAGGTTTTTGAGTGGTTATGCCTTTTAACAGAGCAATAGCTTTATTCTTGAACTACATACTTGTGTTTTGCAGCGTAATATTGACAACTAAAGAGCAGTGAATAATCATTGGTGAAAGTGGTGAAGAATAATATTATAAGACGTATTATTTTAATGTTGTTTTTATTTTCTTTTGTTTTATAATTTTGCAATTCAAAAATAATTCATATTTTTTTACACTAATTGTCTTATCCTATAATTTATTTCGTTGTACTTTTTATAGATATTTACGTAACGACTTGGGTGTTTCTTTCTCACCGCACATTGTGTTGGCTAAATAATCTTCGCTTATGGGGGTCGCGGTTACCTCCCAACCATTGCAATGCGTTTAAAGTATCGTCACTTTTGTGTAATTGTCTTTTGAAAGGAATACATCTATTGAGAGCTTCGGAGGCTCAAAAACTTGCAATCTGCGGGTCCTAGGTTCGAATCCCGCCTTGTACCAATGATTTTCAATTTCCGATTTACATATGAACATTTATACGACGTTTTTACGGTGAAGGAAACCATCGTGATGCAACCTGCACATATCTGGGAAGAAATTCAAAAGATATGTGTAAAGTCAACCAACCCGCACTTGGCCAGCGTGGTTGACTATGCCCTAATCACCCTTAACTTAGGGTAGGCTCCGAGCCCCTCGGTAGGGACGTATAGTGAGCTGATGATGATGATGATATCTATTAATGCCAGAATGAGATTCTTAAATCATTACTTATTTATTCCTTTAATGGGCTACCTTAGTGACCACTTCTCCTATTTGATCCTATTTGAATGTGGCAATTAATAAATTTTGATTTATTCATTTGTTAATATGGAAAATTATTGCCATAAATGTTTATTTGGAGAAATTAGGGAAAAAAGTGTATTAAAACATATTTCCTAGTATTGACAAGTCATTGAGATTAAGAAGATTAATATTTCTAAAAAAATATTATGTTTTCCGGCTTCGATCGTTTTATCATAATTTTGTATAATAGTATCAATGTAGATGTTATTGTGTAGGTTTAATTATGCAGCATTGATCTTATTTGGTATAATTTATTGATATTAAGTTTCATATAAATAAGAAAATATACAATATTGACCTTAACTCAATATGTTATATTTAAAAACCTAAACTAATAAGGTAAAATACAATTTTTAAAAAGTAAATGTTATAAATTTAACTAACTGTATATAACATATTATTTCGATACAGTTTCATTAAACTTCATTATATAGATACTCAGCAAATGTTTGTTACAATTTGTTATGCGATATCCAATCGAATGTGTTTGCCAAATCGTATGATTTATGAACGAATTGGAAATATTTTTGTGTCGAATTTCCCCGTATGGTTTTAGTGACGTTCACTTCAAATGAATAAACTTGTTATCTGATACAAATGAGTTGCTTTAGGAAAATACATACACGTTTATCGTGTGTGGGATTTTATATTTCAAACTAGCTGTCGCCCGCGACTGCGTCCGCGCGGAATTAAAAAAATATTAGTAGTTTATTTGGTCTTCCAGACTATATTCTACATCCATGCTAAATTTCAACATGATCCGTTTAGCTCTTCTGGAGAAACGTTGAGACAAACATCCATCCATCCATGTCAACATTCGCATTTATAATATTAATAAGATCGTAAGATTAGGTTTGGTAACGCGTAATTGAGCTTTAAGACTAAATTCCTCACAAAAGACATAGTATTTTTTTAAATTTAAAACTAGTATAAATATGCAAGTATCACTTGTAGTTTAGAATATAATGCCGACTCTATTTAAAATAGTTCTACGTTTTAAACCTACTTTTTTCTTCACTGACACATATTTAACATGAAAGCACGACGTAAGTACACTTGGCCTTGAAAATAAAATATGCGTGTATTTTCATTTCCAAGGTGAGCGCGCTACGTGATTTACTGACATGGTTTTATATTTGCAAATTATGTTTCTTATGGAAAAAAAATCAATTTTTTGTCCTAAGACTAAAACAGAAACAGTCAAACTTGATTCTGTGGTTTATTTAATATTAATACGTAATATAATTTTGGAATCTTAAAATGGTTAATTAAAAAAACTTAACATGAGGGTGGGATTTTGAACGAAATATAAAGAGCTTTGAAGTCTAGACTAAATTAACCATTGTGATTAAAGAAATGGCAATTTTAATATATTCAAAAGAAGTCATTCAAAATATCTGCTACGTTAGAATATATTTCTACATTCATGTTGTTATTCGTCTCCATTGAAACAACCTGCTCGCCCAAACTTAATATACTTTGTTTACTCTCTTGCTTGTTTGTTTTCCCGCAGACATCTTGATTTGTTCGCTGGAGATTCAGATAAGATAAAAAGGCAAAAAATTGTTACAAATAACGATAAATTGTTTTTGTTGTTACTAATATGTAGAGGAAAACGTTTAATACATCTTTCAAATGATAATTATAAATATCTGCATAAATAGTAACGAAAATTTTGTTATATGATTGTGATAATAACAAGGCTATTGAAACTTTTTAAGACTACTTCAAGTTTTAAACTACTTTATTCAACTGATGACCTTAACGCCCTTATTACAATGGGGTCAGGAATTGAGGACGGCCTAATGGCCACTCGATTGACTGTCAGACAATGAAATTATCTGGAAAATGATTCGTCTAGTAAAGTGTTCTGTATTATATTATTTGTATATTTTCATTCTTTAATATTATTACTTCTATTTAGTTGTTTATGTAAAGTTAAATTGCGTATTACATATAACATGTGTTTCTTAGTTACATTCTTCTAAAATAATATGATGATATGTAAACCGAGAAATTATGGTTACTTTAGCGTATTTATACATAAATAATTGATTAGAAATTAGATTGACATATTTTTTGTATATTCCGATTTAAAATCTAGTAAAGATCGATAGATTAGTTTTACTGTCAAACGATTTCTAGCGACAACATTTTCGTATTTGTAAAATTTGTTTAATCGATTCCAGTTTAACAAGTTCGACGTAGTAACGCAACTGTATGTACCTGAGATCCGCACGCGGCGTCTTCGCCTTTATTTATGTATACTCGGACAGAAATCACCCTTTGCGTCGCCCGCTCGACGCATGCCAACCGAGAAAGCATTCAAAATGATTTATTGTAAATGGTTTTCTACTTTGTTGGCTAAAATAATAACCCCCACGTTCGGATCGTCGTTCTATATTCAATGTTTTATTGTTATTTTCCCCTTTGCCTTGCGCCGATGTGAGGTCTCAAAAAATCAAAAATTTGCGATCCCTTTCCCATTAGCGGCGGCGGCGTGAGTCGGCCATATGGTAATGAGCAGTGGTTCAGACAGAATCGAACATTAATTAGTGGGTGGGACGAAAATGACGGCGAAATCATAAATGTGGAAGCTAGGGAATTGCACGTTGAAGAAGACATCGGCAATGGTAACAATAAAAAGTCCGGAGTACAGTAGGCGCGCGGGTGGCTTTGTCCCCTTTCACAATGCATTGTACCTCAAGCCGATTGACGGTTTAACTCCGGAGGTGTCATGAGAATTAGTGGGCCATTATTGCTCCATAGAAAACGCTATGGTCAAGCTGAAAGCAGATAAGAATAATTAGCTCGGACGCAACAAAAAATGACATAAATCCCGCATAATAAGTTCCTCGTAGTGCAAAAAAAGTATGAGTTACCTGGATTCCTACGTTTTTTCTGCACGTCTCGGAGCGCGGGCCGCTATAATAAACACCTCAATTCCTGGCAGAGGGATTGTTTAATGATTTTCTGTTGTGATCTTGCACAATTCTCGGCCGACTCGATTTTTTTTACGTTTAACGTGCAAGAAAAATAAAAGTTTTTGTATGTCTTGGTAGCATTTAAACAAAAGGGGCTCGGGCGTTTTGTGTGAAGGTGTGATTTATTTATGACTCTGCTTTAAGAGCCTTCGCTTGACCGATTTTGTTTGCTATATTATGTAGTATTTTCCTTTGATCTAATTTATAATGAAAGTTTAGCTTTAAGTAAAATTCAAATTTTGTTTGTTACAGGAACAATGTGGATAAACCGCGGTCAGATATCGCGTCATTAGGGATCTATTATTCGTTTTATTTTCCATTACACTCCTCACTCCCACACCGTAGCAAAAAGATGCTGGGGTGTGCACAAAGGAGAGTCGCCTCGGAGTTCGCATCCTTTGTCCCTAAAGCTATCATCTTCAGCTCGGCTGTTGACAGCCGGTGCCTAGACAAGTAGATGACAAATTAAATTCAATAAACTTTAAAATTTAATTCGGCCAAATTTGAAACACGATTAAAATTTCTTAATTCTGTACCACCCCGAACAAAACTAGTCAAAGTAACAAATTGAGGAGCGATAGCATTAAGTTACCAATAGAAGTTGCAAAGGCTATAGCTACGCCTTCGCTGGTCACCGAGCCGCCGCCGAGCTGCCGCCGCGGTGGCATGCTGTATGCCCCTTGTGTCGACTGTGCGCTGACTGGTCGCTACGTCACGTGGCTTCCCGGCGCGCGACTGCAGTGCTGGATGCTACTAACTGTATACACGTGAGTACTCTATTTCTGATAACCGAACGTAATTAAATAACTACCATTAAGTTAGCTGCGAAATTGTTGACATCACAACGATTGATATTGATTGATTTCTACCGTGGTTCTGTTAATGTTACGTTTCCCTTTAACTTGTTGACAAAACTTTTGCACGAATTATCTAAAGTGTCGAAAGACTATTATCGACTTCATGATTATATGTTTCGTGAAATGAGTAATATTTTGTTGACTGGTAGTAAGGATTCAAAGAGTTTTGCAGTTAGGTACGGAATTTATGAAGTGTCAGTAGCCTGCAATTATGCACGCGTTGCGACGCGCCGTCCGGCCCTACGACCTTTTCTCTGTCTAACACTCATCAATGTAAAGGACATAAAACATTCTCTCAAGCGTTCCGTCAAATTCTTCGGTCGGCCTCCGCGGTTGCTGGTTACTATTGGATTTATGACGCGGCTTTCATTACTCCCCTCTATGTACTTTAGCTTTGTTCACTCGAAAAGTTTCACGTCGAACGTTGCTCTTTTATTGTTATGATTAACAGCCGAGCTTTCTTTGTAAGAAATATGGCATTTTTATGGTTGGAAAGAGGTTAGAATGCACGCCTCGAGACACTGCTAGAGCCGCATTAGCTAATAAATATTTTCTAAACAATAAGTTTAGCGGTATGTATGTTTAAGACTATATTTTAATATTCTATGATGTCCAGCGTCTTTATACGGTTATTAAGTAAAATTTCTATGTTAATAATACTATTGTGTATTGTGTCTGTCAGTTATTTAGCTGTGAAAATGTTTTCGTTGTTTGTTAGAATACGGTTACGGTATTTTATATTAACGCGCATAATATACTTGTTACTTTTATAAGTCATCTGGGGATAAGCAGAAAATAAAACAAAATTACTTAGTTAAAAAGTAGAAAATACACTTTCCTTTTACTATTTAAATCCTGAATGGGAATGTAAACCAAAGATAGTATAATATTTAAAATTGGAGTTATAATTACATATTATAAATGGTAGAATTTATGAATGATGTCTGACATTGTATGGCTTTGTCATGTCAGACTAAAGTGGCCGTAGAACATTTGACAACTAGCTTAAATGTTTGCGTAATTAGTTTATTTAAAAAATCGCGACAATGTGCTAAATTAGTCGGAATGTTACTTTATTTGATATTAAACAGATAATTTGCAATCGTATTTCATTTTGATACCTATGTTTTTGATGTGTAAAAATGTTTTTAAATGGTTATTCCAGACAACGGCTTAGTAAATAAAGAATAATCTTACTAATATTATAAATGCGAATGTTTAGATGGATGGATGGATGGATGTTTGTTTGAAGGTATAACCACAACGGCTGCATGGATCTCGCTAAAATTTGGCATAGATGTAGAACATAGCCTGAGAGAACACATAGGCTAGATTTATACGTTTTTTTTCATTACACGCAGACGTAGTTGCGGGAGACACTAGTATATGATAAAGTAATACTTTATATTTGGACAACAATATATAAAAATAAAGTTTTTGTTATCATGCCGACGAACATCAAGCATATGAATAAAAAAGTTTTACATTTATTTACCTTCGTTCGTCTTTGACAGCATAATTAAGTCACTCTCCGCCTCATTTTTATTCGCACGTTAAGAAATCCTCCACAGTTTGGCACAACAATAAAAATATCGTGTGTGGGTTGAATTGTATTGTTTAAAGCAACTCTGAGTTTCATATTACAATTATACAAAGTTACGAAATGTCTAGACGAATTGTAAATTGGTAGTATATTTTTAGTTACTACTGTTCAGATTGTGGGCGTGCATTTAAAATAGATTAATATTGATTCGTATGCTATCATTTGCATATCATATTAATTTGGAGTTAGAATTTGGGAGTAGACATTATGTGTAAATCTACCTTTATATTTTAATAATTTTAATTAGTTATTAAAAAAAACAATGGAACGATTTCTTATCAAGACGACTAAAACTATTGAACGATTATTGTAATATTGCTATAATGATAAAAAAACTAGGGACTATGTTTATTTGATTTAAAATAAACGGATATTTGACCGGGAAAACCATCTTCATGGCTTTTTGCATCTATATAGATTTTAATAGCATTTATCGTTAAATTAAAATCTCTATGACAAAAAAATCATCAATCAAATGTGAAATATTTTTTTTAATTTAAATAAAACTTTCAACATTTATTATTATAGCTATTAACCACTTACATTTGATTGTATAAATATTATTGCGTACTTATCTTATGCAGTCAGTTGTATGCATTGTTGACTTGTCACAGGGCCCAGTTGTGTTTGGAAAGCAACTTTTACTCTGACATAGAGTGTGTGGGATGGTTATTTGGAACGCCAAGGACAGTATTTTTCGAGTCTCTATAATTTTCTTGATCTATTGCCGTATGCCCTTTTGATTTTGAACGTTAGAGTGGAAAAATATAAAGAATGATAAACTGACTATTGTTAGTTCGTAATCTAAACACATAATTCATTTTAAATTATCAAAAAATGTATGAGATATATTATATTATAATATACAACATTGATATCGAACGTTTTGGTTATTTTATTTGTTTATGAAACAAATGACAATGGAATATGTGACTTTTATTATTATGTGACGAATAAGTCATTGAAAATATAAGGCGAATATTTAAAGCTGGTTGTTAAGTCTTGCGTAAGAAGTGTGTTGTATAGAACGATACCTTTTTTGGGTGTTTGTTAGTTTGAGATAATTTAGTTTTGACCTCATGTGTACCGTTATCTATTGTTCCATATTTGTATTTACGTATGTTTACTTTTTATTTGATAGTTATGTTATACGTTCAAATTTAGTGCAATTTACTGTCTCCTCCGACATTACATAAGTTACCTTTACTCTAAACTTAATTTTCTGACTGTCTTTGAATTGTTCTGACTACATTTTATAGACCTATAGTTATATTATATGAAGGAAAGCTTTGATTTTTTAGTTTCTTTGCTTTGAATAGACGAAACGACTAAACAGATTTGAAAATTCTTTCACTATTGGGAAGCTACACAATCCACGAGTCACAAAGGCTTTATGTTTATTACTAGCTTATTATGATTACTAGATTTTTTTCCGCACGGTCGAAGACACAGGCTAGTTTTAAATAAATTCGAGCATCAAATGAGTTTCCCTCTCAGTGCTTAAATGTCTCAATAAGAAATAAGCGTATGTGGATTACATATAGAATGAAATCTCCGAACAGTTCGATATCCAAAAGTAGTGGACAATAGCTTGAAATGCGTAAGCAGTACGTGACAATAAATTAATTAGAACGCTGCGGACCGAATCTCCCTGGGGATAGGTGGTCTCCGGTCACGTGTAGAGAGGGAAGCACCCTTTTGAGAGCTAAAAGGGAACTATACTTATGATTACCCTTTTAGCTCTTAAAAATGTGCGTGAAAATGGGGCAGTATTATCATTAGTTAAGTTTTTTTAAGAACTTACAACAACAACCAAAAACAAGGAGTCTAAAGGATGCAATAGCGCCATCTATTGGCTGCATTTGAAAATGAACATTCTAATTTCGATTCTTTCGATCCTCGTACAATTTCCTAGCCTGCACAACCCTTTTGTGGTACGGTTTGTCGGCGACAGTATTACCAAACCTCTACGAGTTGGAGATATTCGAGAAGCGAGCATATTTACGTACATATAAACGTACATACATAAAAAAGTTACATACGCGCGAAAAATTGTCAGTCGGGTGAAAAAAGGATGTCTTGTGTGTACATTTTTCGTCTACATTTAGTACATACACAACTAATAAAAACGTATCTATTGAGTTTAATTCCGTCTTCACATTATAGTACGATTTTTACATTCAATTATGTATTAAAATGTTACCTATGTTGTTTGAAATCCTAACAAATTAGTATCTAAAAGGTTATCACTTAAACTTTGGGTAATGGTATTCAGTAACGTACATAAACGTTTCAAAAACAGGAAACGTATCAACGTATTCTAATGCGCGAGTAGCTATAAACGCATTAATAGAGTTGTCCATATTAATTTGCAATAACTTATAGCCACAGATCCATTAGGCTTTTACATTTGCTACGATATGCTTGCTACACACATAATAGCTTTCCTGATTTGACAAATGTATGAATAAATACTTCTAACATCGACTCTAACAAAGTACAAAGTAATATTCTCTACTATAAAGTTACTGCCTACAACTACCTACAATTAATGGTTAAACTCCTAATAACTAGAAATCGTAAGTGCGTCTAATTAAATTTGACAAAACTGCGTTAATAGTGTAATTCTATACTGATTATATTATAATGATCGTATGTTGCGCAAAAACACGCTGCGTCAGATAAGACATATCAAAGCAATACAGCTGGCTTGTTTTTTTTTTGTAAAACGAAACATTTTTTTGTTCTACGAAAAATAACTACTATCAATTATGTTATTTGAATAGTTTTGCTATAACTTTTAAGGGCGAACAAAGAAGATCCCTTTACTTTAGTACTAAGAAACTATTACAAAGATTTGGACTTTGGTACAGTTATTTAAATATATTTCTAGATTTTCTATGTTAAAAATTCTAATGACATATTAATATTCTATATATGTTTGTTATGACAAGATGAAAAGCTTCTCGAGGCCTCCTTAAGCCTTTTGCTAGTTATGATGTAAAATGAATAGCAAACTAAATGTTTTGCTTCAATATCATGCCGGTTATAATAGCGACGTCGTCGGAGCTTTTGATCAAGTGATCCAATATGCGTAATTGTAGGTTTAGTAAGTACTTCTGAAGTATGGTCTAAGTGAAAAACGTAAGCGTGTATCTTTTAAAACCCTTTCAATTGCACAATTTAATTAATATTTCTAGATTTTTTCATTAAAAAAATATATTCATAAAATATATTCCTGTAATTATTACGACTCTTTTAAAATACAATCAGACCTCTAAACTTCTCTTCGATACATTAGTTGCTG